GAACCCCTGCCCTAAGGCATCCTTCTCTCCGTTTCTAACAATTGCTGTTCCCAAAATTAAATTTGGGCCGGGGGGGAGGAGAAGGGGGCTGGTGTGCCATTTCCGGGCTGTTTTGTTTTGTCTTTTTATGTTTTTAATTTTTTTAAGCTTGGGGGGTTTGATTTTGTGAGCCCCCCCCCTCCCCCGGATTCTGCTGGAGTGGACGGCTCTAATAAATCGAATGAAATAAATAGAAGAAAAGAGGCTGATGATTGAATATTATTGCAAACTATAGGGCAGGGCTTTTCAACCTTTTCACCCATTGTACCACTTTTAGGATATGGCAACATCCGAGGGCCACCAATCACCTAGCAAGGTGTCAAAAACTTGATGAGAAAAAAAAGTGATAAAGTACAGGTAGTCCTCGACTTACAACAGTTTGCTTAGTGACTGTTCAAAGTTACACAATGGCACTGAAAAAAGTGCCACCCAAGGCACAGCCGAGGAAGACACCTGCCTGCCCACCCAGCGGCGCTCTTCTTCCTGTCCGAAGTTTTCATTGTTGTGTGAGCATTTCTGTTGAGGATTGGCAGCGGAGGTGGGGTGGGGGTGTTTGGTTTTTATTCCCCCCCGTTGGATGGGTGGTTGCAGCAGGTTTTGGTCACTTCAACTGACCCTGGGACACTGTGACCGTCATAAATATGAATCAGTTGCCAAGCATCTGAATGTAAATCACAAAACCCTGGAGATGCTGCAACATTCCAGCTGATCGGTGCTTCTTCTGGGCTCAGCAGAAGCGCCAGGATCAGTGCCGAACTCCAGCTGGAGCCTGGCGCTGATCCTGGTGCTTCTGCTGAGCCCTGACAGCCCTGCAGCTCCAGCCATTTCTCGCTCAGGCTTGTGTGGTGCTGCCACCTGTTCAGCTCATTCCCCTCCCCCGCTACCACTTTTCTAGAATGGTCGCGTACCACCTGCAAGGTGCCAGTGTACCACAGGTGGTACCCGTACTACTGGTTGAAAAGCCCTGCTATAGGGGATGGGGGTTCCAAAAGCAAATGGCCCAAAGAGGCCTTGTCTCATGCCTTTCTTGTTTTGGAAGGAGCAATTATTGGGTAGGTAGAGTTGGAGGCGTCTAACTATATACTCTGTGCCACCTTCTGGATTATGCAACTAACCGGTAGTTAGTTGTTGACCAGGTTATGTGCTTTACAAGATAATGTAACTGAAGTGGATTGATTGCTTTTTTTAATCCTTAATTTTGGCTTTACCCTTATCCTGTCCCCATGCTGTAGGGTTGCAATGTATTCTTCTTCTTTAGCAGCTCTTATCTTTAGTATGAGTGATTGGAAACACTGTTTTTGTTGTGTGCCTGTTCTATATTCAATTGATCTTTGGCAGAATAAGCCCCAATCTGGTGAAAAGCGAAGAATGCAGTTTCTTTCATTAGTGCAAATTAAGAATGGATCGTTGAGACATTTGTTAGAAGTGTGCAATATCATTTCTAAAAACAAAAGTTGGTTTCTCTAGGGCTAGGCCTTCTAATCAAGCAGAGTTAACTCCTTAGAGTTATTTAGAAATGTATTTGTTTAGCAGTGCCAGCTTCTTAATTGAAAACAGAAATTCCCTGCTAAGAACTACTTACTATTTAGTGCCTTTCAAAATTGTGTTTTAGCTGTAAAAATCATTTTGGGACCTGGATTAAATCTAGGATTGATTTGGACAATTATATTTTAAAAAATGACCTGCCTTTCAATATGTTTAATTCTTTTAAAAAGACAGAAAAAACCTGGTGAAAATTTCATTTAGGATTCAAAATCTAGAGAATATAATAGGCGAGTAATAATGAAACCTCTAGGCCAGGCATGTCAAACTCGCGACGTCATGTGACGTCACGCAACGTATCAGGCCGATTTTGCCATTGCCGGCAATGGGGTGGGCGTGGCTTCCACGTGACGCGTCCGGCCCGCGGGCCTGCACTTTGACACCCCTGCTCTAGGCTTTGTCCTAGTGTTCCCAACACCCTTAATTTTAATCAGATCGTGCTGTTACAGCTTTAAGAAGCTCCTGTAGATTTTTTTTTCATTTTTCTATATTGCTTTTCATTCCAGAGAAGCCTAGCATAGTTTTTGAAAGAACAGTAAACCAACCTTTAAAAAAATAAAGCAAAAACTGCTTAGAAATAATGCATTAAAAATATTAAAAACCATTTTAAAAAATTGGCATTCTAAGCCACCGCATCACATTGGGCAGTTTGTTATCCTACTAATGTCTATGGGAGCAATGATTTATTTTCAGATTTATTTTTTTTAAAGAAAACAGTGTGAGAGCTACCCAAACATAACATGGGAAACAGGTTCGTAAATATGAACTGCCACTAAGAAGGTCTTGCTTGACTACCATGTTGTCAGCCAAGTGCACTGATGGCAGCACAAATAGTGAGACCGTGATCTTCTATTAAAAGGTCATAGCTAAGATCATCACTTTTGCCAATTCTATCCTTTCTCTGCTCAGAATAGAACTCAGCTTCTATTTATCTGAGGTTAGGTATCACAATCCTGTTGATACTGCATAGAATGACACTGAAGCTATTTTGTAAGTGTGATTTGTTCCTGCTAACTTCAGAAGTGAGTATGAGTTGCAATACTTTTCTTATTGTCAGTACTTGAATATATAATTTCTGTTGGCTCCTAGGTCACAGGTAAATGTGATAGTGTTTCCTTATGGCATTAAGACCTTTAATTAAATATTCCTATTTTTTTCCAGGTACATAATTCTTCCATTATGTCATTCTTGTTTGAATGGATCTATAATGGCTTCAGCAGTGTGCTGCAGTTCCTAGGTAAGACTTTAAATGAATAATTTTCAGGGGCTTATTTATTAAATTAAAAATGAGGAATTTGTAGATTGCTATAGTAAGGCACTGATGCCTCCAGACAAAATGTTAATTTTTTGTGGTCACGTGCCAGTTTTGTCTTTTTGTTTTTTATATCATATCATTCTATAAACGATAGAATAATAAAGTCATTCTATAAGTGATCGAGATGCAAATTACACTTGTTTGTGATGTATTTTGCCTTATTTTATTATACTAAATGAATGGCATGGACAGAAAAATAGTGAAGTTAAAACTTTAAAATCAGCCTACTTTGTTTTTATATCTGCAACTTTCTAGAAATACAGTATATGGAACTTTAGCTCAGTGTTACACACAATATGGAAATATTTCAGTCCCAGAAAAAAAAATAGCGCATTTCATAAATTTTGCTAAACCATTTTGAGTCAGACATGGAGGAGCAGAAATGAAGCCTGAAACTTTTGTTGTTTCAAGGTTAGGGATGATAGAAAATCCATTTGGTGTGTAATCTAGTATATGTTAAAACCAACACCACCCACTGACTGACTTGTTCCCTTGATCTCTCACCCCTCCTGATGCCAAAGCATCACGGCATATCCTTTGGGCCCACTGGGTTCTTCCCAATACATTTCCTTCATTGCAAGTGTCCAGTGCAGCACACATATTCCCATACACAATTTTCCCACATTTCCCCTTCTGAATAGCTGCTGTAGAAGTCATGATGCAGACTGCATGCTCCATTCACTTTGGGGGAATAAGAATGCTCAATAGGCTTAATCCAATAAATAATTCATTTTATTTCATACATGCTCTTTTTCCACAGGATTGTACAAGAAGTCTGGAAAATTAGTTTTTTTGGGTTTGGATAATGCAGGCAAAACTACCCTTCTTCACATGCTAAAAGATGACCGATTGGGTCAACATGTTCCCACATTGCATCCAAGTAAGCACCATGTAGCTATGGTTGGAATTGTGCATTGATGTAATTTTAGAACGTTATTATATAATAATGTTGAAGCTTAGTATACTTAAAAATAAAGTTGCTTCATCTTTGCCCTGAATTGTTTTGAAAATGACATTTAAACTTATTCCTAATCCCAATATCTTTTCTGAAGCTCATTACCTGGAAAGGATAAGAGAGATTAGGCTCACGATTATGATTCAGTGTGTTATATTAAATGCAAACTTTACCTGTTACAGTTTATGAATTACATTTGAGTTAGCAGGAATTGGAAGATTTAAGATATGATTTTCAGTATTGGTGACCTTTTAGAGTAGCTGAAGGCAACATGTGCGTTCCAGATGTTGGTGAACTACGGTTCCCACCTGTCCAACAAAAGTGATTGAATTATGGGGATTACACTCCAACATCTGACATGTCAAATTAACCTATATCTATTTTAAGGTCTTATGCAGCTTTCGTCCTCCCTTTGTTTATGGAAGTGTTGGGTTTTAATTCCCAATCAGTATCATCTTTATCCAGGAAGCTTGAAATTTGGGGGCTTCCTAAAAAAACATTCCATATTTATATGGAGTCAGTCACCAAAGTAAGCTATGAAATCCTTTAAATTGGGTGTATTCAAATCTAAGAGATTAGATAGACATTTATTGAAGGTGCTTTAACTCTATTCTTGTACTATCCAGATGTTGGATTCACTGGTTCTATAAATCCTTCCAGTTCTTTAATTCTATGAATATTTCTGAAGGGCATTAAGTTGGGGAAGACTGATCTTACATATCTTGAATAGTTTATGCCTTCTGGTAATTGGCATTGTAAAGAACATATCCACTGTTAAAGGCTATAAAACATTCTTCTCTTCTCTAGCATCAGAAGAATTAACAATTGCAGGAATGACTTTCACCACTTTTGATCTTGGTGGCCATGAGCAAGGTAATCAATATTAATGCTTGTTATTTTGTTATTCTCTTATTCCTGACTAATCTGAGAGAAAGTGTCCTTTATGCAGATAAAATGTTCTGCTAATGGGGATGGCATTCAATCACATTAAGAGATCACTGTATGATTTATGTTGCCCATATTTATTTTCACATTCATGAAGGTCACAAATAGGTTTTCTTCCTTTTACAGCAGGGACACAACAGATTGCTATATATTGGCCTTAAGGTAAAAAAAAAGTACGCACTAGTACAGGTAATCCCTGACTTACAACAGTTCATTTAGTGACTGTTCGAAGTTACAGTGGCACTGCAAAAAGCGACTTATGGCCATTTTTCACACTTACGACCGTTGCAGCATCCCCATGATCACGTGGTTTACATTTGGATGCTTGCCATCTGACTCACATTTATGACGGTTGTAGTGTCCCAGGGTCTTGTGATCCCCTTTTGCAACCTTCTGACAAGCAAAGTCAATGGAGGAGCCAGATTGACTGAACAACCGTGTTACTAATTTAAGTGATTCACTTAACAAATGTGGCGAGAAAAATCATAAAATGGGGCACTTTCTCACTTAGCAACATAATTTTTTGATTCAATTGTGATCCTAAGTCAGGGGTAGGCAACCTTGGCTCTTTTATGACTGGCTGGCTCAGGAATTCTGGGAGTTGAAGTCCACACGTCATAAAAGAGCCAAGGTTGCCTACCCCTGTCCTAAGTTGAGGATTACCTGTATGCAAAATCCTCAAGTTCTGTGTTAGGCACACACTTCAAACCACCTAGCTTAATTAGTAGACGACTAAGTGCAATATAGGTTTAATTCTGATATCAAGCTGGAACGTGAACATAGCTAAATATGCTCAAAATATGATTTTCATCCCTTTGCTGCTGTTGGTGGTATGCTGTTGCTATATTTTCACACGTGTTTTTCTTTCTCTTGAAGCTCGGCGTGTCTGGAAGAATTATTTCCCAGCAATTAATGGGATTGTCTTTTTAGTGGACTGTGCAGACCACTCTCGTCTTATGGAATCTAAAGTGGAGCTCAATGTGGGTAACTTTTTCCTTTGAATGCACTAGTACTAGTTGTAGCATTTATATATTCCTTTTCTGTCTTGGATAACAAGTTAACTTAAAATGTGCATCTATGAGCAAAAAGGAAACTAAATACTAATATGAATTTAACATGAAAGCCAGCTGGGTGACTTTGGAGCAGTCGTACTCTCTCAGCCCAACTCATCTCACAGGGTTCTTATGATGGGGAAAATAGGAGGACAGTTATGTTTGTCACCTTGAGTTATTTATAAAAATAATAAAGGTGGAATTAAAAAAAATATTTTAAAAGGAGGCAAATATAAAGCAGTACTTACCTCTTATACATAATTTGGAATATGCTTCATAAATTTGAGCTGTAAGTTGCACGCCACCATTATGATATTTACATTTACGAGGTCATATGACTCTTATTCCAAATACAGTTAAAATGAAATATGTATGTATGTATCTATTGTCTGTTAATAGCATTTTCTGAAGTAGTTAGGTTTGGAATTCCTACTTAAAATTATTACTTGCTTTCTATAGTTACATAGTTGCACATTTTTTTTCCTTAGGCACTAATGACTGATGAGACAATATCCAATGTGCCAATTCTTATCTTGGGTAACAAGATTGACCGACCAGAAGCTATCAGTGAGGAGAAACTGCGAGAGATTTTTGGTCTTTATGGACAGACAACAGGAAAAGTAAGGAATCAAAGCTTGGTTGTAAAATTAATGTACCTTATTTTTCAAAATATATTTTTCTGAGTACTATCATATATCAAGGTTTTAACTCTGGCTGTTAAAATACCACAGGAACACAAGTAACAATTTATAATAGATCCAAGTATGGTGCAAGTGAATTTATTATATTAATGTAGAATAGCCTAATTTTATACTTTTCTTCTGTTTACAAATGAATGACTGTATGGTTAGTTAATAAACAACATATTTAGTTTTTATATATCAAAGTACATCTCCTTGGAAGCCCGAATTGTTAACTTTCTGACTGCAGTGAGGGGTGACAAATATATTGGTGTTTAAATGGATACAAGACAACTAAACTTCTTGTGGACAGCAGCAGCAGCAACAACAACAATAATAACAATAATAATAATAATAATAATAATCAAGATCACATGAAGTATTAATTCCACTTTACAATGCCTTGGTAAGGCCACATTTGGAATACTGCATCCAGTTTTGGTCACCACAATGTAAAAAAGATGTTGATACTCTAGAAAGAGTACAGAGAAGAGCAACAAAGATGATTAGGGGACTGGAGGTTAAAACATATAAGGGACAGTTGCTGGAATTGGGTATGTCTAGTTTAATGAAGAGAAGGACGAGGGGGGACATGATAGCAGTGTTCCAATATCTCAGGGGCTGCCACAAAGAAGAAGGAGTCAAGCTACTCTCCAAGGCGCCTGAAGGCAGGACAAGAAGCAACGGGTGGAAACTAATCAAGGAGAGAAGCAACCTAGAACTAAGGAGAAACTTCCTGACAGTTAGAACAATTAACCAGTGGAACAACCTGCCTCCAGAAGCGGTGAATGCTCCAACACTGGAGGTTTTTAAGAAGAGACTGGACAGCCATTTGTCTGAAATGGTATAGGGTTTCCTCCCTGAGCAGGGGGTTGGAGTAGATGACCTCCAAGATCCCTTCCAACTTTATTATTATTGTTGTTGTTGTTTGTTGTTGTTGTTGTTATTATTATTAACAACAGCATTAGGAAGGATATACTGATCAATACCCATTGGGGCATAATCAGTTTTATACTTGTACTTTCCTTTGGAAAGACTTCAATTAATTTAGCCTCCAGTGATATCCTGGGAACTAAAATATTCTCACACTGTTTTTTGAACACTTTTGGTGTCTGATTAGTATTTTTTTCATTCTGTTCTCTTGTGAAGCATAAGAATATTGTTAGATGACAGAAAAAAATGTAGCATATGCCCTTTACTGTAGGCTTAAATAGCTTACTTGTGATATCTCCTTTCTGCCAGAATAATCCAGTATGATTTGCCATTCAAAAATAATTAAAACAAACTGTACAAAGGTTTCTTTTTTTCTTCGAAGCACACTTTATTCTTAAAGTGTCCAGAGACTGCAAAACCTCAGGGAACACAAGGGAAAGGTTGCCCAACAAGTTTCTTAGCTCACTGATGGAGCTTATGGCTTTTACTCCATGAATAGGCTTTCCCCCCCCCCCCCTACCTTTCCTTCAGGTGCACAGTTCTGAAAGTTTTCCGTCAATCTTTTTTTTGTTAATTTCATTGTAGCTCTTGGATCAATATCAAAAACAATGCCACGTCATATAATCAAGAATGATCTTCCAGCGTTTGTATTTTATATCTGTAACTGCAGCAATGAAAACCAAAAGTTACTCTCTTTTTATTTCCTTTGTCCCCTTTTTCCCCTTTATCTCTTTTTCCCCTAATTTTTTCTGTCGTTTTTTTAATATTTTCAATTTGGGGGGGGTTGGGTAAAAATTTAATTTAACTAATTTTATCTTACGGCTGTAAAATCAGATACGACCATTTGTTCGTAAGGAAGCTTGCTGTATTTGTCCTAGTCTCTGGGCTTGAGTGCCCAGAAGTTCTGCCTGTGCAGTTTAAGGTTCAGCAATGGAGTGTTTTTGAATGAATTTTTGTTTAATTCTCTAGGGGAATGTGTCATTGAAGGACCTGAACACGCGTCCTATGGAAGTGTTCATGTGCAGTGTACTGAAGAGGCAAGGCTACGGTGAAGGTTTTCGTTGGCTGTCACAGTACATTGACTGATAACTGGAGAGACAGATCTATTCCTGAACTGATCCTGTTCACAAATTCCTTATGGACTTTTCTATTAGAACATGGAAGACTCTCCATCTGCATACTGGCAACGACCAAGAGACTCCTTTCTTCAGTTACCCTACATCACAGTGGTGACACAATTCTTTTCCCTGCGTCTGGGAGATAACATTCTGTACACCGGTGCAGGTTGTCACTTCCAGTGGCCATTGATTCCTATGGAAACCATGGCTTTCAGTTACAATAGGATGAGCGAGCTAGAATGCCAAGCTCTGTGTGCGGCACTCTTGTGGCTGGAAAAGAGGACATGTCTCACCACTGTGGCCAATTGATTTCAAAGAAAGCAACTATATTTTTTAAAGGAAGTGTTTGATGTGAATGGCGTCCCTTTAGATTTTCTTTAAGTTAGCATTCATCCTGTTCAGGCCAGAGTCTGTTAGGATTTTTTTTTTAAAAAAAATCTATTTAATGGTATTTAGGCGGTTCCCAAATGACTGAACCAGCTATCATGATATTCAAAAACTTTAGAAAACAAGAAAGATGGCTTTTTCAAAGCCCTGTAAGGTGGTTGCGCAGTCTCACTGCTCGATCATGAAGATGGTGCTATTGGGACTGACTTGTGCAATGATTTTCTTTAACTTACAGGGAATTTAGTTGGGGGGGGGGAGGGGAATGGAGTACACACAGAGGCACACTTATTTAGCCTTCCTTGTCATGTGCAGGAGTCTGAAATGTGGTTGACCCCTTTTGCCCACCTCTAAAAGTTACGATCACTATTCTTATTGGCAGTCTTTTATTTCTTTTTTGCAGCACCAGCAAAAAGTTTGTCTTCGACCTACAATACAGGATGTTCTACATTGCAGGCAACTGCAAAAAAAAAAAAAAAAAGGCAGTAGAAATCATGAATTTATTTTTTGGGTTATTGTAGCATTAAATTGTTCCAACAAGTGTGTATCAAATGCTGTTACTGTAAACTAACCCTGTTTCTTTTACACTCAACAGAGCTTGTGTTTGAATTTTCATTACTTGCCTAGACATCTTCATTTTCACTTAAAACAGGCATTCTTCTCCTTTGCTGGAGCATGAAGATGCTTTAATTAAAACTATTTAGTGCTCGTGGACAGACTTGCTTTGGTGAATGCAAGGGACCCCATGTCTGAAGACACTGGCTTTCTGATTTCCATTACAAAATATGAAATGCAAAATGGCAGTACACTGTTGGCATTTAACGCCATTGAATTCTAACACTATGGGTATGGGTACGTTCACTTAAATCGGGTGGGGAATTATGGTCCTTTTATGACTTGCGGACTTCAACTCCCAGAATTCCTGAGCCTGCCATAAAGTCACAAGTCATAAAGGAGCCATAGTTCCCTACCTCTGACATAAATGCTAGTTGTGGTTTAGTGTCTTTTACCATAGCATGGACTTCATTGAGAGGGAAGGAAGTGAATCATTAACAGTTGCTCATCCCAGAAATCTTCCTGTGATTTTGGATAGCAGTTTTTTTAATAACTTCTAAATTGTCAGTTTCACCCAGTGCATTGGCAGGTCAGAATGCATTGATCTTTACCTAAAATTACATTTCAGGTAAAAACTCATGGAGCCTTCTGAAGTATGTAATGCAGGTATCAGGATAAATATTCTACTTTTCTGTCTGCAAAAAAGAGCTGACTATTTTACAAATATGAAGCATCTTAAAACCGTACAGGTTAAAAGAAGCTAGCCTGCAAATCCAGAGGTAATTTCAGTCATAATTCCATTGGAAGAGCTAATGACAGAGTAGCCAATTCCTGAAAGGGATAACTGGGGAAGAGTCCATTATAATTAACCGGGCTCTTTTCTGATGTGGTTATTCTTGAACTGTTTGCAGTATTTTCATCAAAATGATTACTTATAGCATCATTGTTGAGTTCATTTGTGGTTTGTAAAACCTTTGGGTTTTATGTAAGAAGCTTTTCAATGACTTGTGAATATTTCCTAGGCCAAAGTGCCTGTGCATATGGTACCAAGGAGATGTGGAAAACTATTAAGTGTACAGGAGTCCACGAAAAAACTCGATTGGGTGCAAATAATGTAGCATCTGCTCCATTGCACACCTGGAATTTTCTTAATGGTGGTTCGATCAAGGGATATGGATGGATGGCTCACCTTGGATCAACATGAGACATGATAACCCTTATCTCCAACTCCATGCTTAAAAAGAAGGCCCTGGTAAGCAGAGCTATAAGATGGTGCCCAAAGGAGCAATTTCTATGAAAGTGGTATCCCAGCCACTGGAGAAACTGCTTGCGTATGGCTCTGATCTGTTTTCTGCCTGCCATGTTCTGTCTTTGGACAAGTCTCCTTGCAATGTCTGGATATAAAGTTTAATATATTCCTTAGGGACTGGGTTACAGATTGGAAAATAGAATAAACATCATTCTGTTAGCAAAATGTTTTAACTTCCAATTTCTGGAAATGTGAAACATGTTTGCAGAGACGGTTTGTCTGTATCCAAAACATTTTAATAAAGTTTTTTTTTAAAAAAAAGAATTATATACATATACTTGGGTTGAATCTGGCCCTAACATTATCGAGAGGCAGATGTTATAGAAGGTATCCATGTCCTGGGCCACAAAGATACTCTCGACAATGTCAAATTGGGAGTGAACCATCTGATATTTTCATCCATAAGAAAAAATACAAGTTCTAGTATCTGAACACATGGAAGATCACAGTGAGAAGCTTGCTGCTTATGGAAAAATTACACGAGGGAGAAGAAAATGAATACGGATGCCTGTTGAAAAATAACTGCCAGATGCTATAGTTTTGACAGCATAAAAGATAGTAAAGATATATGAAAATAATGTTGCTATACTCGTCATCTTTGCTGTAAGACCCCTTGCTTTTATGGGAGTACCACTAAGTATTGCCCTCTGCTAGCTTGAGTACTGTTCTTCAGTTAATGAGAACTGGTGGTATCTGTTTTATGCAAGTCATCTGTGAATGCACCCATCAGGAAGGCTTCCTACCCAACTCTTGAAAAGTTGGGACCTAGGGCAGTGACGGCGAACCTTTTAGAGACCGAGTGCCCAAACCATAACCCAAAACCCACTTATTTATCGCAAAGTGCCAAGGCCGCATCAGCATTGTGGTGCCCTCGGGGGGGGGAGGGCAGCGGAGGGGCATGGCCCACTGGGTGAGTGTGGCTGCTGTGGTCATGGCAGATTGGGTGGGCATGGCCGGGGTGGGTGTGGTCACCTCGATGTTGCTCGTGGGGGGGACACCTATGGGGGCTGGGCAGGATTGGGGGAGATCCAGGGGATCTCTGGTGGGTGAGGCGGTGGGCAGGAGGCTTTTCCTGCAGGGTGAGGTGGGGTAGGGCGGGGGTGCCGTTAAGGCAAGGCAAGGTGAGGCAGGGGCGGCTGCTGCCTAACACCATTGGCCCCCGCACACATAGGCCAGTGACCACATGGGGGCATGCTCTACCACCTCTACTCAAGCTTGCTAGCTGGCCGCTTCGCCTCCTTTGTGTTGAGTGGGACTGTTGCTTCGGGTGCCAACGGCGGCCTAATGGACTGTGTGAGATGATGGCGGCGGCGGGCGTGCCCACAGAGGGCTCTGAGTGCCACCTCTGGCCCGCGTGCCATAGGTTCGCCATCACTGACCTAGGGATTCCATTCGTATGGATAGGTTCAGTTAGTGACTTGTAGATTTCCCTCTCAGTTTTAAAACCCTTTGGCAGCTAATCTGTGACGGCAAATTTCAAGAAAGGTTTGGAAAAATCTCAGTCTATATTCTGTGGTCCGGCCGGTGGCCAAAGCTCTGGAGGTCTTTAAAATGTGAGTTTAATTTCCTTTTGTATTCTTACCGTTTAGCATCTGTGAGCACAGTTTGGCATTTTAATAAATGCTGTGGATGAAAGCAAAGGTGTAAGAAACAGGAAGGACAGGAGAAACTAAATACAAAAATGAGGAACAATGGAGAACAAGAGAAAAGGATGTTTTTTGCAATAGAAAAGGGCTTTACTCTTCAAGCAAGGACATACTTTCACATGTTCAGGAGAGCCCCTTCTGGTCAAGAAACAGCTGCAGGAGAGCTCTCCATCCCCCATTGCAATGTAATGAAGGAAATGTCTCCATTCTCTTGCTTCAAAAGTACAATGGTAGTTCCAGGCACAGAGCCAAGGTCTCAAGAATTAAAGATTTAACTCATGTTGGTAAACCTCTTCTTTAACTTTTTTGGGAAACAGATTGGATGACTTCAGGTCACTTGAATTGATCTTCAAGGCCTGGAAGTATTCCAGGTCCTCACTGAAGATGCAAGAGCCCAAGTTATTTTTATTTATTAGATTTGTGTGCTGACCATCTCATTAGAGGTGGTATAGGCACTTCAGCTGGCATACTCCCAGCATAGCTTTGATTTGGACACACTTTAATTTTTTAAAGGGACAAGACCAGTCCAGCTGAATGTTACCATCGGAGAATGAGGAGTGCCTTTTAAACAAGAGATGAGCAGAACTTCAACAGCCCTACTCCTTCCTAACAACAACATCCATAAGGTGTATTCAAGATTTTCTATATTTCTGGTTATTTGCTTACTAGTTGCATAGTGAGTACTTGAAGGGAAGTAGACAGGATTTAGCTGTGCCACCAATTATCTCTCCCAATGCACAGAGAGACCGGATGGAAATTTTGGGACTCAGGCCCAACCATTGATTATTACACCTTGCCAGGCACGAAAGACCAAGACTATAGTTTAATTAAACTGATTTATTACTACTCATGAAGAGGACTAACAGCACTATTTTAATGTTAGATAAGGTTCAACAGAATTCAAGAGGGGTTGAACTTAGTCCATTTGTGGCTATATAGTGATTTTAGGCTGATTCCTCTTTTGACTCCCCCACCCCAGGTCTTGCCACTCCTTCTCCTACAAACCTGCTCTAACATAGAACTTCCATTTTATTCCTTTCTTAACTGATCATCCTTAGAACAGACACAATGTAAAGCCAGCGGATCTCAAGCCTGTTCTAGTTTTTGAACTCTGTCAACAAACAAAAATACATGTATTACTCTCTAAGCTAAAAAAGTAAAGATGGCTTGAGTCACAGACAAATCTATAATTTTCTTGACAGCGATTCAGGACTAGTTTGTCCTTGCCTTCCAGGTTTTATTTTGTTTGGTTTTTACTTTTCATTCTAGTCTACAGCCCCTTCTGGGTCTCGCTTGCAAGCAGCAATAAAGCCCAGTTTCAAAATCACTCAAGGTTGTTTAGTGCTGCTACCTGATCATGAAAATGCTAAATTGGGTTGGACTTGTTTGGGACCAGATGTACATTAATTAAAAGAATATTATAGTTCACTTTACCCAAGAAAAAGCACAGAGTTTGCCTTTATTTTAGAGTCAGTGGGAGCAGGTTCAAGCATTTCCCACGAACACACTACAGTAGCAGGTATTATCTGTCCTGCTCTCTCCACATGAGGGAAACTCAGGCTGTAACTACTGTGAAAAAAGATACTTCTGATTTGGAGCAAAAAATCAAATTGCCACACTCCTAATATCATACTTGGGATGATATCTAAAGAAAGAATATTATAGACCTCCAGAACATGAAGAATGTGCCACTCTATATGTAACTATGTTAAAACACTGCCCCTGCCAAGAAACATAACTCTTGGCTTTTTTAGCTTCAAAAAGATGGACATGATAGAGGCGTGTCACAGTTATGGCAAGACAGATGTTTTCCTCTCATATTTTTGGAACAAGGGATCTTAAAATGGAACTGAACAACAGGAAATGAAACAACTAGAACAGTGATGGCGAACCTTTTAGAGCCCGAGTGCCCAAACTGCAACCCAAAACCCACTTATTTATTGCCGGGTGCCAGGTGGGTGTGGCCCACTGGGTGGTCATGGCAGACTGGGTGTGGCCAAGGTGGGTGTGGTCACCTCAATGTTGCTCACGGGGAGGGACACCTATGGGGACCGGGCAGGGTTAGGGGAGATCCAGAGGGTCTCTGGCAGGTGGGCAGTGGGCAGGAGGCTCATCCTGCAGGGTGAGGCCAGGCAAGGCAAGGCAAGGCAAGGCAGAGCGGGGGTGCCATTGCCGTGGGGCAAGGCGAGGCAGGGGCTGGGGCGGCTGCTGCCTGACACCATTGGCCCCCGCACACAGAGGCCAGCGAGTGCATGGGGTTCAACAGTGTCCAACAGCAGCCACAGCCTGCCGGCCCCTCAACAGCGCATTCTGGGGCTCCACAGCCCACCACCAGCAGTCCAAGAGAAGCTGCCTCTGAGCTGGACAGCCGGCCAACAGCTGAGGAGGCGATGCAGTGGGTTGTGCCCAGGAAAAGGAGAGCATGCGAGGCCAGGAGGGATGGGATGGGGGGGGGAAGGAAACCAGCCATGCTATGACACATCTGGTCACATGGGAGCTTGGTGAGTTAGCGGGTGGCTGGTTGAAGAGGGGCGGTTGCCATCTCCAGGGCATGGTGTGCGTGCCCACAGAGAGGGCTCTGAGTGCTGCCTCTGGCACGCGTGCCATAGGTTCGCTACCACTGTACTAGAATATATAATGCATACTTGGTTCATTTGGACTTCTGGAATTCAGAAATACATTCTTGTTTAATGGATTGACAGACTACGTTGATTTGGAGTTTTCCCAAAACAACACTGGAAATTTTTTGTTTATCTTAAAAGAACATGGATTGCCAACTAGTCGTACAAGCTAACAAAATTATTAACTGTTGGAGATAGAAAGGAGCAAACAGTCCAATGCCCACTCCTTGCAAGAATCCAGCTCTAAGCATCCCCAACAAATCTCTTTGTGTCCTTTGCCAACAGCAAAGCAAGGCTCATTCCCTTCCCAGTGAGTTGGTTTCACAATCAGACCACTCTTAGCACTCTAGCAGGCTGCCTCAAATGTGCAACAGTATTTTGACTTGCATGCACCTTAAGATGTAAGAAACTTGAAAACAGGTCACCTTTGCCATAAGACACTCCTTCAGATACCTAATGAGGGCTCTTCTAATAAGGTGAGGCCTAATCTCTGTTGCTCTTGCTAAGCCTGTTTCATAATCTGCATTGGCGCCTTTATTTGAACCTGCTTGCTTGCACTCTTAACATAGTAATTTGTGTATTTGTCAAGCTGTGCGCAATGGCACCCACAGGAAAAGGATTACAATGGGCAAGATGTCAAATCCCTGCCCATCTAGCACATTCATGATGTTATATATAGCTCTTCTCCCATTTTGCTCCCAACAAGAACCATGTAAGGCAGATTGGGCTGAAAGAGAGGGCCAATAGAAGAGAATATTTGTAGCTCAAGGTTGAACTGTGAAGTCCTTGGTGGTTTCTGAGCTTGGTTATTTTCTTGCAAATATTTCATCACCCAACCAGATTAAACTGAAGATATTACCCAGTTGAGTAATAAAACATCTGCAAGAAACCAAGGTCAGAGAGCACCAAGGACTCCAGAGAGTGAATGACCTGAAGTCAAGAGAGTGAGTTTCCCTGGCTGAGATGGGATTAGAATCCAGGTTATCCTGTTGCAGTTTAGCACCTTAACCACTATCCCACACAAACTGGACACAGTATATGTAGTGGGTTCTGAGGGAGGCAGAATAGACCAAAACAATTACATCCCCCATTTTAGGAATGCTATCAATGCATCCTAACATTGCTTTCTTCTTTTCTCTATGGCAGCTTCAAGACATTGCTGACTCATGTTCTGCATGTGATCAGCTAGAATTCTAAGATTCTGATGATACATGCTATTATTAAACAGGTATCTTTCGCCCTATAGACTGATGTTTAAGATATTTCAGTATGAGAACTGGGGAGTAATGTGACGGGGCTTAGCAAAATAAAAGTGCTGACACTTTCTACTTCAATATAACAATCTCTAGAACAGAATATTAAAATGATCTTCAAGATTTACTTCAAGATTTATAGTTTAGCCCCAGGGAATAAGGAAGATAAATTATTGCTCTCTGTGATGAGGTAAGGTTTTTTTTTAATTAGTAGTAAGTTTGTATAATAACTCATTCACAGGATTATCCACACTGGATTTCTGTTCACTGTGTGTGATTGAAATGGATGAAAATACATTGCTGAATCTTCCTAATTCAGTGGTGCTTCCTGCTCTCAGATAACTGTGCCAATTCAGTTATACCCTATAATGTATTCATATTTTTGTGGATTTTTTTTGTCTTGCGGTTTTAATCATTCAGATCTAAGAAATTAGGTGGGACAGGTTCCTATATAGAAGAAAAGTCACACAACTTCAATTATGATTATTAAAGCTGAGCTACAGAATCTGAATAGCAATGAAGTTGCAGGAAAGTTTTAAGATCTTGCTACGTATCTTTACTGACATAGTAATTGTACAGATTTTAGCAGCCCAGATCTGCTAACCCTACCTGCATTTGCTCAGCCAATGTTTTGTCATGTTTGTTTGTTTATTTGCTTATTTATTTATTTAAACTTATTTTTAACACTGTAATTAGAGGATTCCCCAGGCTTGTAGCTGTATAATTATTTCTGAACGAGGCTGTAAAAGGAATGACGGATGTTATCCAGCACAAATGATAATGTGCAGAATACAGACCAGAATCAAGCGGTCTTATCAAATTTGCTAAGTCGGGATACAAACTTTGCCAGAAGTCTGCTCTTAGCAATCGATAGGCACGATCAGGGGCTGGAAATTAACCTGGCATTTGTTCAACGGATTCCTTATTCCGAGTTAAATACGAAATCCCAAAGATAAGACAAAAAATAAATAAATATCTGTGCAGCATTCAGAACTTTTTTCAACCCCAGTCTGCGCTTATCACTGTAATATTTATGCCGAATGACTTTGATGCAAAGAAGGATCCCTTTCAGCCAAATTAAAACAACTCCAAAATTTGGCTTAGGGTCGCAGTTCTTTAAGGGGACAGCCCCGCCTTTGTAATCAAACAGATTCCTAAAGCTCTCTTGCTATGTAACCAAACGTCTAAAAGCAGCCAATGGGAGAGGACGTTCCTTGCACGAGTCTCCTCCACCAATCGTAGCGCTGTAATTGACCGGTCAGCCAATGAGAGCGAGCTTAGCTCTTTTTTTTCCCTTCGCTGCTTATTCCGGGTTCGTCCGATGCTTCCGCTCCGTTTCGCTGGGGTTTCGCGGCTGGTCCGGGGCGTCCCGGGACTTGGTGGGACTTTGCAGCGGAGCGCCGCCGGGCAGGGGTGCCTGACGTGAAGCGCAGAGGCGAGGGGGCTCCGATCTTCCCGGTTCTTGGAAGGAGCAAGGAAGGACTGAATAGGCGACTCTTGAAGTCGACGGACTTTCTTTGCATTAAACTCCCCGCATTTTGCAGAACTGGGATTTTCCCTTTCGCGCTCTCACGCTTTCCTCTCCGGACTACCCGGTAGAGAGATTCGCCGGTGAGGGACCTCGATTTATTTCCCCTATGTCCGAAACTCTGGGATCGTCAGCAGCCCGAGCTGGCTGCGTGGTCTCCGTGTCCCACTCCCAGGTCTCCAGCGGACCTTCCAGCGGCAGTGGCGTCCTCTTGAGTCAAGACCCGGGGATTGTTCTTTGCCACGGGATCCTCTTTTCCCCTTTCCTTCTGGAAGCCGAGCATCCTGATTGGTCTCGGGGCAAAGTCCTCCTCGCCGATCACTTCTCGCCGGGCCTCCAGATCCAGGTGCTTAGGGCAAGTGGATGCAGCAGGAAAGTGAACCGGATTTCTCTGGCTGGCGACCTGGGGGAAGATAACCCAGTGTTGAGGTTCAATCCACTTTCGAATCGCCTTCAATCCCCCCACGGTTGGAGGAACTGTGAAGCCGAGCTCCTGATGGTAGTCGCCTGCCCCCGGTTCCACCAGGCGTTCTCCAAAATCTTCAGTGCTTCAGATCAGTGGCATTTTGGAGGGAATGACTTTGAGCAGAAAGTCAACTCTTTGGAGCATGACTTGCATGGCTTGCACTGGTTTGCTCTGCTGAGGATCCTGGAGCCTGAGTCCTATGGGGCAAGTTGGGTGAACTGTGTTCCAGCCGGATCCCTCAGGAAGGGCGATACCGTCTTTGCCTGTGGCTCTCCTTTCGGCTCATTTTGCCCGGATATTTTCATGAACACCCTTAGTAAAGGGATAGTCAGCAACCTGGCAGGAGCAAACAATGCCCTCCTCTTGATTGACGCTCGTTGCTTGCCTGGCACTGAAGGAGGAGGCGTCTTTGTCATGTCAGGAATCGGTCCTCATCTAGTTGGAATCATCGTAGCGCCACTTTGCTGGAAATCCACTGAGTGGGTTGGCTTGACTCTGGTTTGTGCCATTGACTCCATTCTGGAGAGTGTTGCGGAGATGCTTTCTGGGTCTTGTGGTTTCCTGAAGCCTTGGTTGCTCCCCATGGAACTTGTGACTAGATCGCATACGATGATGGTACTCGGAAATGGACTGGACAGGCACCTGTTGGATGCTGTGGTTCTGATAGAATGTGGGTCAGCCTGGGGGTCTGGGGTGATGATAAATTCAAGGCTGTTGTTAACCTGTCGGCATGTGGTCGGCCGAGCACCAAATGTCCATATCAGGTTTTTAACTAGTCCTAATAGGTGAGTCTGAATTTTAATATTTGCTTATGTATTTCTTTGTTCTCCTGGGTGTCTCTGATGCAATTTGTGCTCATCTGAGCAGTGTGGGTGAGGTTTGGGAGAGTGTATGTGTGGCAATCTTGAGGATGTGACCATGCACGTTCTCATTCTCAGACTGAGGGAGATTCAGCCTCCCCAGCAGTTTTCTTTTTATAGGTTGCTAACGTTAAAAGATTTAGGCGAATCTAAGAGCAACTTTAAAGATTCTGGGTGGATTCTAAGAATGAAGAGACTACAAGAATAGAATAATAAATTAAAATGATAAAAACAACAGTGATAATAAATCAACCCTCTCTTCATACATGGACACCAATAAAATTTAGCAAGGTTTGATGGACCAATGAAACAACACTTTAAAAGAGTTTTTAAAAATGTTTTTATTTTATTTTTTGCTAAAAAAAAAAGTTGCTAAAAATGAGGAGGAAGGAAGCTTTATGCACCTTTGCAGGTAAGAAGTTCCAAAGTGTAAGTCTCTTCACAGAAAAATATTGTTACCTTGCCACTTCAGAAGGAAGAAAGTTTATTCATAGGACTTCCTATGATATCCTTACCAGATGGACAGACAGGTGTCATAGCAGGGCGGTGCCTGTTGTAACCCATAGCTCTGTGTATAATTATCAATCTGAATCAATCTACTGCAGGATGAAGGCTCCTCATGGAAGGTTATGGACCATTACAGGTAGTCCTTGACTCGTGACCACAACTGGGTTTCCATTGCTTAGCAAGGCAGTTGTTAAGTCATGCCTAATTTCACGATCTTCTTTGCCATGTGTTATTAAGCAGATCACTGCAGTTGTGAATCATGCAGTTGAACGAATCCAGCTTCCCAAAGACTTTGCTTGTCAGAAACTAGCTAAGAAGATCACAAATGTTGATCACATGGCTGCAGGAGGCTGCAAATGTTGTAAATTCATTCACGTTACCAAGCATATAACCATAGGGATGCTGTGATGGTTGGTAGTCCGAAGCCTGATTGTAACTCACTTTTTTCAATGTCATTCTAACTTTGAATGATTGGTAAACGGACGGTTATGAAGTCAAGGATTAACTCTGTTTACTATCCATTGCATGATGATAGATGTTTTTCCCAATGAAGGGTGGAGGGAAAATGATTGGCCCACAATCACTTAGCTGACTGCTTTTCTTAAGGGAGGGCCAGAATCTGGTCTTCCTGTTCCTAGTCCAGCAATTTAATCATTGAACTGCACTGGGGATGGATGGATGGATGGATGGATGGATGGAGAATTTGAGTTACATTTATTATTCCGTTTGTGCTAATTTGTTTGCCTGCAAGGCCTAGAACTGTATGCTCTTTTGTCAGTTAAAGTATGGTATTTTGGATTGTGGTCAAATATGAACTCTTGGAGAAGCAGTGATTTGTGTGGAGCTACAGTGGCTTTAGATTCCACCATATCTGAAGGGAGTCAAGTAGGAGGATAACTTGTGTAACTTGAGTAATACACTGCAGTTCCCATCTTATGCATTCAGTCATAAATTCAGAGAGTGCCACCTATAGAAACGAAAACAGATATGTGAAAGTGAAAATCTGTGAGACTAAAAATCTTGGTAGTTACATTTGAATTTAAGTTGTGGTTTGTGTCTTTTTTAAATGAACAAATAGATTATAGTGCTTTTTAACCTACATGTTAAAATCAGTGTCATGTTAAATGTTAAATCAGTGCCATGTTGGGAGATTTGGTGATAATAAGAACAACAGTGTAAATATTAATAACTAATTGTGATGTAACAGGAAACATGGAGAAAAAACAAAGCACAGATTTTGTTTTTTATGGGATGGATAAGTATTTATGCAAAAGCATCTTGATCCAGGTCCAAAACACTTCTCCTTTTTCTTGTTTAGTGATACTAGTTTTTAAATTGGGAACTTTGGGTCCTAACTATTAATTCACTCCATTCCTTTGAAATGAATACAGAAAGAAAGCCACTGGACTACGCATCCAGCCATTAGATGGGAGCTTACGGTTCATAAATCCTGGATTGGTCATCCCAGGAACGTTCTGTGTCGACCAGCTCCCCCCAATTGCCTTACGGTTCCTAAATCCCGAAGCTGAAATCTTGGCTCCGTTGAGAGTAGACGCCCCCTGTCAGAGGCTCAACAAGCTCCTCAACTGCCTTTAAGATGGAACCTGAATGGGTCAACCCAGGAACGGTCTGTGTTGACCAACCGCAAACTCCAACCCATGTGAATATCTCAACAACCTCCATTCCCAGTAATGGAAGAGCACCTCACCTAAAACCACACCAAGAACACTTCACGCTTGTGACAACCAAACCTGTTTTGGAAGCAACAGTGTTCCAGAACAGTAAGAAATCAATAATTCCTCCATATCAACTTCTAATGTGGAATGGGACCCTGTGTGTCCTGCGGTGGTCCTATGCTTATCTCAGACAAAGGCATTCCAAACTGGCCCGTAGCCAGGATATCCTGTGATAAACTTAATAGCTCCTCCTACTGACCTGTTAACATGGGATAGCTGACTAGCTAAACTACATTACCCATAAGCCATCTCTTAAGGAAACAGCGCTTAACCGATAAATGCCAAACATTCTAACATACAGATCTATATGCTCTAGTCAGGGTTACATTGATCCAGCACATGCAACCTTGACCTTAGAAGTCATCTATACTGATCCCCCTGACTCCTTCCATTCTCCCCACCCACCCCCACTCCAAAATGCTCCCTAAAACAGAACCAGCTAATGGCTTGGGAGTAAAAGAGGAAAACATTTCAGCATCAGCCCTTTATTTCTTTTCAATATGGCTCTTCAGGCCTTGCTTTCTTGTTTGTCTTTGTATCATCATCTCCTTCTCTGGAAATGTGTTTAAAAAAGCAATAGAGAAACAACTGTAATCCAGAAAAGCCCATTAAGAGTAATTTGGGCGAGCTCCTCATCCTTTGATCTTATATTTGCCTTTTGATGCTTGTTCCTTTGGGTGTCTCTGATGCAACCCGAATGCAATCATCTGAGCAGCATAGATAAAGTTTGGGAGAGTGTGTGTGTGTGCGGCAGTCTTGATGGTGTGAGTATGCAAGACTGGAGTTTGAGCCGCCCCAATTTTTCCCCAGGCAATATTGCCAAGATTGGCTGTAGCCCAGTTCAGTTAAGGAAGGAACCCAATTCAGTTGAGGAAGGAGACTAGCCTCTGGCCTAGAGATGCAGAAAAATCAAATGGATTCGAATCCTGGTTCTAGTGGCTTCAACACCCCTCAGTTTTACATCTCAGGAAGGCATGACCCAGCTCTCTTATAGAAAGCATCTGAGGGCTTCCAGTTTGCGTTGCGGTGAGACAGGATGCAGGAAGGTAGGGCTCTGCATTCCGTGCCCGATTTCACTCTGCTGGGATCCCTTAAATGGGCCTAAAATTGTCCCGAAGAGACGATGAAAAGGAGGGGTGCCTTGTTAATCACGGAGAGATGGCGGTCTTTCTGTTTGATCCAAGGAAAGCCCTCCAAACCAGCAGGGGAAAGACCGGCTACATTCTTGTGGCCGGCCATTAGCTGCTGACAACTGAAAAAGAAAAAAAGCACCAATTAATACGTAAACAGCATGTTTGGAACTGGGTGAGAATATTGATCCTTTCTTTACTATTTTACAACTGAATTTCCTGGGAAAGGCTCCCAAGAAGCTAAAAACCTCCGAATGTAAACAGAAGCGGCGTTCTAATTTTATGGGGGACAGAAACATACAATATTGAAGTGGAAGTAACATAAAGCTACAGCTTTGATAAATTTGAGAACTGAGATAACTGTTAAGATTTTCTCTTTGAAAAAAAAAACATTGAGGCAAAATATAAAAAATCAATGCTTTATTTTAAGAGTGGAAAATGGACTTTGAATGACATCTAGTGGTGGATTTGTGTATAGCACTACAATTTGCTTTCTGGTTGCTTGCTGATTCCTAGCTTAGAAGAACAGCTGGCAATAAAGGAAAATATTTTGGCATACCTATCACCTTGACCTTCTTTAATTATAAATACCTACTGAGCTTGGACTTTAACTTCAAGAGCTAGTGGGAGAGAAAGAAAAATTTGACATTGGACTATGCCTGGCGGGGAGAGACTTTTGAGCTGTTTTGAGAGAAGTTGAACATTTTGAACACTTCGAACATTGTGGATTACAACCTTGCCTGACTGACAACTTTTTGAATATTTGAGACAAAGGATTACTATAAAATATTGCTTTCAGAACTGAACCTATACTTTGGAATCTATTGGATTATAAAGGATACATATAAAGACCAGAAAACTAGAGGAAACTTTAATCTACTCTTATTGAATCTGGTGATACTAGAGGATCTCTAGCAATGATGACTCAAGAAAAAACAAACACCTTTCAGAAAGAAATATATTCTATGCTACAACTAATTCACCAATTGTTGACTGCAAAGAGGACATAAAAAGAAATCATAATGAGACTAAAAGCAATTTAGACAATATAAATGAGCAAATCCCCAAATTAAATCTACAACTAGAAAGTTCCCAGATAACGACTACAAAGTATGAACAAATAATCCAGAAATCAAAAGACGAAACAGGCAAGGGATTTAGAGATGGAAGAGATAAAAGAAGGGAAACATAAATGACTATGTACAAACAAAATACTGCAAGAATTAGCTATAACAATGAAAATGCAAAAGATCTTTTACCCCTTAGACCTGCAAAATATATCTGATGGCAAGGAAGAAGATTTTAAAAAAGGGAATATAGAGGGAAATGTCACAACTTGGGAGACAGGGAATGAAAAGAGAAATCGAGGGAGAAAGGAACTGGGAATTGTTTAAGGAATATAAATGGGGCGGAATCCCCCCCCCAAAAAAATACCCTACCTAAATTGTCTTCCTCATGCCAAGCAATTTTTACAAAAAGAAAAAAAAATTCCTGGGCGATCTAATTGCCCTTGGCAAAGAAAGAAAGCGAGAGTCAGATTTAAAAAACAGAAGATTTGACCTTTTAGAGGGGGCATTATATGTTTAAATACTTGTCTGAATAAGATTAAAAGAATGGATGACCCTGACTTCCGGTTTTGTACCCATAGTACATGGCTGTGCGAGAGCGGACCTCCGCTCCCCATAGCTAGTTTCATCCTGCCAGGGGGACCCTAGATGGGTCCGAAGTCACCCCAAAGAGGTGACCCTGAAGGAGGGGTGCCCTGTTGATCACGAAGCGACGGCAATCGCTTCATTTGTTCCGGGGGAAGCCCTCCGAACCCGACAGGAGAAAAGCTAGCCGCATGCCAGCATCTAGCCCAAGCTACCTGCAGCCGAAGTCCAAGAGCACTAACAAGAACAATGGTGAACAGCATGCCTGGAATTGGTGAGAGTATCTCTCCCTTTTTGATCCCAAAGCAAAAAACCTGTCAAGATTTCAGTAAAATCAATATTTTATAACAATTCTTCCTTTCAGGAGTCAATTGTCAACCAGTCAGAACTGCAGTTCAATACATTTAGCCACCTTAAATCCTTCATGTAACTTTCCCTCTCAAAAATTAGTCATAGATCAAAGTTTTTAAACAGTTCATAAATTTAGACCACAATCAAAGTATTTCTTTTCCTTCAAACACTTTCCAATCTTATAGCTGGCCCAGTATACAATCTCTTCTTTGTTCCCTGGCAATTATCTTCTTAAAGGTTATTAGAGTTCATGGGAACAGATTTTTCTTTGTTTCTGGGCATTGTCTTTAATGTGCTATATTCTAATTGTCCACTAGATGTCAGCAAATATTTATTTTCCAGCTCTTTCAGACAAGAAGTTCTTATTTTTCTTTTTTATAATTTCATCAAAATCCTTTAGAATATAATCTTAGCAGATTGTTTTACTTTCTAAGTTTGATCAGGTTGTAGTATTTTAAATTTAATTTCAATATGTTTCTTTCCTCCTTCGCCATTTCCGTCTATGTTGTGTCCTCATTTTGATCAGCTGAACAATGCCAAATCATGTTTTGTTTTCAGTCTCTCTCAAATGCTGATTTTTTTTTCCTCCTAGGGATTCTGTAGTGAAAGGAAATGTAGTGTTTGCAACAAAGGACTCTTCTCCTTACGATATCGCATTGGTGGAGTTGGAAGAAAGTTTATCCACATTGCCAGAGCTTGTTCTAGCATCAACGTTTCATCCAGGTGAGAGCAAAGTAACGCATCCAGGTTGGTGCCTCTTCTTTTGTTTTTAGTTCACATAGGGCTGTGAAGAAGAGTAACAGAATAACTAACAGAGTTGGAAGGGACCTTGGGGGTCTTCTATCCAACCCCCTATTCAAGCAGGAGACCCTATGTAATTCCAGACAAATGGCTGTCCAATCTGTTATTGAAATCCTCCAGTGATGGAGCAAGTTGTTCCACTGATTTATTGTTCTCACTGTCAGGAAGTTTCTCCTTAGTTCTAGGTTGCTTCTCTTCTTGATTAGTTTCCATCCATTGCTTCTTGTTCTGCCTTCAGGTGCTTTGGAGAATAGGTTGACCCATTCTTCTTTGTGGCGACTCCTCAAATATTGATGTATTAAATATTGATGTCCATCACTTAATATTAAAAAAAAATTGAAGCTGGCACTTATAAATAATGCATCAAACATTTCATGGGAAAGCATGAAACCTTACATATTGAAACCATCTTTGCAGTGATAGGCAAATATATTTTAAATTTGTGCTGGAATTGAGTTCCAGACAATTCCTTTCAGTGAAGCAGGGTGAATCCATTGCTTTTCCTTTCGAACAAGTTATTTTAATCATTTTGGAAATATTTGGAGCTTGCAACAGAATTATTTAGAGCTTGAAATACTTCTAAAGCATTCAAAAGAGCTCTTAGGAAATAAGTGTTTTGCCCACACAATAATTATTTCATCCTCAGAGTTAATGCCTTAAGTGGTTTACAGCTGCAATGTTTTTCACAGCGCAGCTATTTATGGATATCTGCAGGAGCAGGTGGAAGAGCAAGTTTCGGATGAAAGAAGTGACTTGTGAGTGGTCCTCTCACCTTATGGCCATTACAGTGACCCTGTGGTCACATGATCAAGCTTCCTCTTTCCGCTATGTATTCAAGATGGACAGTGATTAATATTTATAGGTATTTATAGGTAAGAGTGTAGGTATACGCGTATGTATGTATATAGCATGTTTATATGTGTGTTATGTATATGTATACTTTGGAGAGCAGCCAACAGAATTTGATTTTTAATATGTGCCACTGTGCCTACAGTAAAAATGACAATAAAGGTTATCTATCTACGACTCAGCTGCTGGGCAACTGGCATATATTTAGAATAGTTGCAAAATTCCAGGGTCAGAAAGTCTACAAAGACAACAATAAAGTGGCTTCCAACCTTCGTCACACTGAACATAAGCTAACATACAAACTTTTCACCCTCTTTTAAAGTTACAAATCAAAAAACTCTTCTCCCCATATAGCAATAGCAACAGCACTTAGACTTATATAACACTTCATAGTGCTTTGTAGCCCTCTCTAAGCGGTGGTACTGAGTCAGCATATTGCCTCTTCCCAACAATCTGAGTCCTCATTTTACTGACCTCGGACAAAATGAAAGACTGAGTCAACCTTGAGCTGGTCAGGATCGAACTCCTGGCAATAGGCAAAGTTAGCCTGCAATACAGCATTCTAACCACTGCGCCACCTCAGCTCCTAACTTTTATTTATACACAATCTAGAAATCATACTTTCAGTCCTACTTCAATACTTCCATTAGGAGTTACCGGAGATATCAAACAAATCGTTTATCCCTGGTCAAATAATCCAATTTCATATTCCTTCTTTTTGCTCTGCGCAATCTTGATCTTTAAATGGTTTGTATTATATCACAGGATTTGACCTTTCATCACTCTTTAGAAGCTTTCAGTGGCCAACTTTGTAAATCCCATAGAGAGGCATCATCCAGGATTTCTTACTGCAGCTGTTCCATGTCCAGATTCTTTTCTTCCCATAAAGAGGCATCGTTCAGTACATGATGAGAAGGTTCTTGATGACTGTTGTCTGGTTTGATTTTTCAGGAGAAGACGTGAGTATGGTGAGCTTTGGTGTCTTCGGTCAGGCCTGTGGACCGTCTGTGACATCGGGAATCCTCTCGGCTGTGATCACTGTGGAAGATAAGCCGGTGATGCTCCAGGCAACCAGTGCGGTTCACGGTGGCTCAAGTGGAGGCGCCCTTTTTGGCACTCACAGCGGGAAACTTCTAGGTAAGATGGGTAGATAAAATAGATGGACTTGCAACCAACCAAATTCTCAACAGTTAACCCAAAATAGAAACATCCAGAACAGTAATATAAAGAAAAATATATGGTATAGAATTATGGTATACTATAGACCAGGGGTAGGCAACCTCGGCTCTTTTATGACTCGTGGACTTCAACTCCCAGAATTCCTGAGCCAGCATGGTTCAGCTTGGAAACCTCTCAATTTCTCCTCAGCATAGCTGGCTCAGGAATTCTGGGAGTTGAAGTCCACCAGTCATAAAAGAACCAAGGTTGCCTACCCCTGGATAGACTATAGAATTCCCAGGAGAATTATTAGAGTTTGGGAGACAGAAAGTATATATCCTACCTATTCTATCTTCTGTATTCTCAACAATATTTGCAAAAACACAGAAACTGCCGGGTAAGTGGAGTATATCAACTTGGAAAGCTATTCAAGAAGAGAAGAAGGCTAGAGACAGAATCAAGAGATTTGACTCGCCCTATCAGATGGAGTATTACATGAGTAAACACTTGTTTGAATATGGTTAAAAGAATAGAGAACTTTGAACATAAAGGGGCCTGATAACAAGAGAGATAAGAGGTTTAAGTAATATAATATGTTTTACAATAGATGAAGTGTAAAAATATTGGGAAGATGTAACTTTTATAAATATATGTGAAATATAAGCTGATCAGAAAGTATGTTATACCCAGATGTTATAAGATCGACAAGAAACACAGTATTTTTATGATACATGAAATATGAAAATATTGGGATGGTGTACCTAAATGGAAAAATTTGGATATTTAGATGATTAACATTGAGAAAATCATGACTGATAAGACAAATATATGGTATATAACCGTGGTGGCGAACCTATGGCATGCGTGCCACAGGTGGCACGCAGAGCCCTCTCTGTGGGTACGCGCGCTGTCGCCCCAGTCCTAGGCCTTCAGCTGGGTTTATAAAACCTTTTTGCTTTAGGCCTCTGCCGCCGTGTGCAAAAAAAAAAAAGGTTCAATCAATCATTCAATTTCAACTTCTCGCGGGAAAAAAAAAGATCTTGCAAAGTTGGAATTGATTGATTGAACTTTTTAGTCCCACCCAGTCTGCTGTTACTACTGCAGCCACGTGCACCCAAAGGGCCACACCCACCCAATGGGCCACGCCCACCCGGCACCCGACGTTACATAAGTGGGTTTTGGGTTGCAGTTTGGGCATTCGGTCTCTAAAAGGTTCGCCATCATTGGTATATAATGATTACACTGTCTTTGTCCTTGATTTTACTTCCTGAGGATATTCAGTTTAAAGAAAACAAATTTCTAGCGTTCAGTTTAAGAAAGGCAAGGCTGTTGTGCTTTACGCATCACTGAGCTACAATTTTCAGCAGATCTAACCAGATGCCTCTAGCATAAAAAAAAATCTCGCTTTAGTTCCTACAACTTATTCAGTTCTTTGAAGATTCATTTTAACAGTGCGAATCTCCCTAAAGCCTGTCCTCGGTCTCATCTCCTTTGACGTTGCATTTTTGCCCCTTTGTGTGTATGTTGGGATATTGAATTCCGTTCTTTTGTCCTCTGTATTCCATTCGCAGGAATTGTTGCCAGCAACACAAGGGATAACAGCGTCGGTGTGACCTACCCTCACTTAAACTTCAGCATTCCCATTACAGTCCTGCAGTCAGCCATCTTGGAATATATCCACACCGGAAGCCTGCATGGCTTTCAAGAACTGGACAGAGTAGGAGACAGAATTCAGGTGGTTTGGAGGCTTCAAAGGGAACCCTTGGAGATCCCACTCAGCAAACTATGAGGGTTTCCGTTGAAGAAGAGCAGAAGAGTATTGGCTTCATAGGTCATAGGTCCAGGCTACCCGTTGAATAGTCTCATCCTGCTAGACAAGCCCCGCCCCACTTGTGCTGGCAGAGAGGGCCTACTGCGGATCCTGTCAGTCAAAGAACTCTATTGGGATCCAGGAGAAGAGTCTTCTCTGCTGCAGTGCTCGCCCTTTGGAATATCTTATGCTCCAAAGTGAGGTCTACCTCCACCCTCCTATGCTTCCCTAAGAGCGTGAAGACCTGGCTCTGCCATTTGGCCTGGTGACCCGATGGGGAAGTTCCACAATCTAGCACAGTGGTGGTGAACCTATGTCACGCGTGCCAGAGGCGGCACTCAGAGCCCTCTCTGTGGGCACGCACACCATGCCCCAGAGATGGCAACCGTCCCTCTTCAACCAGCCGCCCGCTAACTCACCGAGGTCCCACGTGGCCGGATGCATCCCAGCACGGTTGGTTTCCCTCCCTCCCGTCCCATCCCTCCTGGCCTCACATGCTCTCCTTTTCCCGGGCACGACCCACTGCATCGCCTCCTCAGCTCTCGGCTGGCCATCCAGCTCAGAGGCAGCTTCTCTGAACTGCTGGTGGTGGGCTGCGGAGCCCCAGAGTGCGCTGTTCGAGGGGCCGGCAGGCTGTGGCTGCTGATGGACACTCTCGGCCCCCATGCGCTCACTGGCCTCTGTGTATGGGGGCCAATGGTGTCTGGCAGCAACTGCCCCAGCCCCTGCCTCGCCTTGCCCTGCAACAGTGGGACCCCCGCCCTGCCTCGCCTTGCCTCACCTCACCCCGCAGGACAAGCCTCCTGCCCACTGCCCCATCTGCCAGAGACCCCCTGGATCTCCCCCAACCCTGCCTGGCCTCCACAGGCGTCCCTCCCCACGAGCAACATCAAGATGACCATGCCAACCTTGGCCACACCCACCCAGTCTGCCATGACCACCACAGCCACGCCCACCCAGTGGGCCACACCCACCTGGCACCCGGCGATACATAAGTGGGTTTTGGGTTGCAGTTTGGGCACTCGGTCTCTAAAAGGTTTGCCACCACTGATCTAGCAGATGGCTGCTAGACTAATGGCAAACCCCACCTCCCAGCTTGCTCCCTGCTTCCCCACCTACCCACCTTTTATTCTCATATCGCTGTGTCATTGTTTCCCTTTTCATTCTTTATTCTATTGTTCCATTACTTTGTTTATTGTTGTTTGCACTTCTCTTCATTTCTCTGTTTTTATTGTTGTAGACCATGCTAGAACAGTCCCACGGCAAGATAGGCAACATGTAAATCTAACAAATAATAAAATACAGTTTATACTGGGCTAAAGTGCTTCTATTTCTACTGTAACCAACTCAATTTATGGAACTGACCCCAAATTAAGGGATTATGAGGTTGTACAAACAAAAAGGAGTTTCATTTGTTTCAGTAGCTTTCTTGGCCAGGCATTTCGTTTGATTTCAACAGTACCCACTTAGTCTTCTTGCCCTAATTTGCCATTATAGTTGGTCCTCAACTTACAACCAGAATAGGAATCAAACCTCTATCTCTAAGCAAGATGGCCATTAAGTGAGTCGCACACAATTTTACAACCGTTTTTGCCACGGTTAAGTAAATCACTGTGGTTATTAAGTGGATCACAGCGTTGTTAAGCGAATCCAGCTTCCCCTGTTGTGTTTGGAGCCAAGCACCTGAATTTTGATCACTTGACCGCAGAAAGGCCACAATGGTTATAAATGCAAGATTGGTTGTAAGTCACTTTTTTCAGCACCATTGTAACTTTGAATGGTTGCTAAATGAATAGTCATAAGTCAAGGATTAACTGTATTTCCCTGAGAGTGTCTACCTTGGTCAAGCACCCTGCTTATACTCGTTATGTACTGTGTTTTCCCATTACGCCTGGAAGTCTGTTTTAGAATATCTTCCTTCAATTCCTTTGCAAAAACTCATTTTTATGTTATCCCATTCCATATATAGCTTATGCTTTACTCTTGGCTTCCCATTGTCTTCCTGAATAGTTGAAATGTGGGTTAATTCTTGGAAGAACAGATCCTTCTTCTTCTTTGTTATGGTGCTGTATAAATAAATAATCTTTTCTACTGAATAATGCACTTAGTACCTTTCTCTGGCCACTGGATATTTAACTAATCCCTGTTTTAAACACTGGCCAATTTCTCTTTTGCTTGGCTTGTTGAGCTTTTTCTAAAAAATAAAAAACTTCAAACATCTTCAGAGATTTATGAAACAGGCCACTTGTCTGACAAATGGAAATGCCCATTTGTTTCATACAATATAAATCAGTATTTCTCAACCTTAGCAACTTTAAGAGACATGGACTTCAACTCCCAGAATTCCTCAGCTAGCCTAGCTGGCTGGGGAATTCTGGGAGTTGAAATCCAGGCCTTTTAAAGTGGCCACGGTTGAGAAACACTGATATAAAGCATCTTGGTTTGTTTTGATCGTAATGCATAAATCAGGGTCTTGTGGTTTGTTCCACAATCTTTGAGTTTAGAATTCCTGCTTTAGAATTATGCGTGAATGCAGTTAAAATTCAGCTTCAGATATGATTTTCTGTTAAATAATGATGCTGTTTTTCTCCTTCACCCCCTTATACTCTCTTAATGTAGATAGACACTGCAATTTTTAGGAATCTTGAGTTTTTCTGATAATTGACTTTCTTTTCTTTGCATTTGCATTTTAGCACAGTTCAGCAGGACCCAACTAAGTATGAGTTCTTTGCCAAATTTAACTTCATTAGCTGAAGCAGAATAATCAAAGTAATTATTTGTCATAATTATGAAAAATAAATGAGTGGTGCGGTGGCCTAGAGGTGAAGATGCTCGACTCCCACTTGGAAGGTTGACAGTTCAATCCTAGGCAGCAGCAGATGTTTCTCTATCAGGGCACAAAGAGAAAATATTTGCTGTGAACTCCACATAGGCGTCAGGAAGGGCATTCGGCCAGTAAATGCTCAGCTCCATTCAATCAGGTTGATACCACCCTGAAGCAAGGGATTTCAGGGTCATAAAAAGAAAAAAATGATAAATAAATTGGGAATTGCTTGGCTTGAAGAATTTATGCAAACAAACATATTCACATTTATCTTGTGTTGTATGGCAGCTTGGTGAATCCAGATTTCTAGATTCACTTTAACTATACATACCATGTTTTGTATTGGGAACCGAGTATGGAATGGATATGGATGTAGGTTGTACAGCTAATCCTCGACTTAAAACCACAACTATGATGAGAATTTCCATTGTTAAGCAAGACAGTTGATATGTATTAAAGCAAAGAAGTACTAGACAAAAATACATACCTGACTAGAAAAGATGTTGGGAAAACATGTAGATTTTAAACCTGAATTATTTTTTTTAATTAGGTATTATGCCAGAAAAGATTGATAAACAAAGTATATATTTGATTTTTACACGTGATAACAGCAGCAAGAATCATATTTGTACAATATTGGAAAAAGGAAGAAATACCATCAGAGGAAGAAATAATTAAAAAAATACTAGAATGTGTGGAAATGGACAGACTTACTATGAGGTTGAAAGCAAAAGAAGAAACAGAATACTATCAGACTTGGGACTTGTTTTATCAATGGCTGGAGAAAAGAATAAAGGATTAGAAATTAAAATTGTATTAGTGAACTAGCTGTACCCGGCCACGCGTTG